GAGAGAGAGAGAGAGAGAGAGAGAGAGAGAGAGAGAGAGAGAGAGAGAGAGAGAGAGAGAGACAAGATTGTTGTGCGGTAAGGAAGAAGGTTGGAAGCCATAGTTGCCGAGCTCGGACAGCGAGAAGACGAGTAAGAGGAGAGAGAAGGGATGAAGAGAGGGAGAGGATTATAGTTGAGTTGGAGGAGGAAGGAGAGACAAATAAAGGAGAAAGGGAAGCCATAACAGGGGGTGAAGTAGATAGAGAGAGAGGCGAGAAAGAAGCCGTAGCCGAGGGAGGATGAAGAAGGAAAGTGAAGGGAGGTAAGAACGAAGGTTGGCAGCCATAGCCAAGGTGATCGACGTACTTACCAGCGTTGACAAGGTGTTTTTATCGAAGTTGAGCAAAGTGCTTTTCAACATTGACCGGGGTACATGCTGGCGTTGACCGAGGACTTGACCAAAAGGTTGACCAGCGTTGACCAAGGAGTTGATCGGGGCGTTGATTGGTGTTGACCAAGGTGGCGACCGAAGCTGTTGACCACGAAGTCTGACCAAGCTGGAGTTGGTATACTCTCGCCAAGCCTTCAGCCTGTCCCCTCGCCCTATGGATGTGCACACACCCCACGGTACTTGTCGAGTCAGTTTGTCTCTTCTTTCTGTATCGAGTCTCTTCTGTCCAGGTGTTAGGAACTCTGTGTGTATGTGGTCATAGAGCTTTGTTGACCAAACCCACACGGGCTGAGTAGGGCTAAAGGCTGTGTCTGATGACTCAGGACACGGGTCCTCCCAAGGACCGGTACGGACCGGGGGGCTGCTCGGTGTGGCACAGTAGGCCCGAGTTGTTGGGCTGCACAACAAGCTGTCTAAGTCTCGAGAGGACTTGCTGATCGCGTCGTCCTGTTTGCGACGTTAAATAATTCTTGAGGAGTTACGGGGGATCTCCTTAAATGCTTCCTGATCAGCAGTAAGTCCTGTAGTGACAACCTAGAAGTAGAGTCAGGCTAGAGACCATAGTTGGCAGGGTCCTTTCAGGATGCCGTGGTCCTTAGTGAGTTCGACTTAAGTTAAGTCAGTCAGGGGGTGAGAGTCTAAGTGGTGAGGAGTGGAACTGTTGTCCGGTTGTACACCTGTCACCATGGTTGACACACGTGGTGGAACGAGCACTACCCCATGTACAAAAGAGCAGGAAGAGAGAGTCGCTGCCATACTGAAAGAAAGGAAAGAGGAGGAGGCCAAGAAGAAGGCTCTGTTGGAAGCACAAGCGGCGAAGAAGAAGAAGCTTGAGGAAGAGATGGAGAAGGTGAAGAGAGAAGAGGAGTAGCTTAGAGAAGTAGATGAAGGAGAAGAAGAAGAAGGAGGAGAAGAGATACCCCTCGTGAGGACGGCGGCGAGAGAGGAAAAAGGGGAATCTAGTGGGGTCAATGAAGATGAGAAGAAATTGGAGAAGATGGTCTCATAGTGGGTGGCTAGCTTATCCCTGGGGGAGGATGAAGAAGCAGCGATGTACATCCCCCAGGACGAGAGGGATGCTGTTTGGGCGGAGATAAAGGCCTTGGAAGATCCGCTAGAACAACAGGCCCTGGAGGAGGAGAAGAGAATGGAGTGGAAATTGCGGTTGAGAAGGCAAAGAAGGAGGCGCATAGCGGCGGCTACTGAGTTGGAGAAGGAATTAGTCGCCGCAGCAGAACGGCATACGCAGGCGCTAGCCCAACAGGACGTACAGAGGAAGTTGGATGCGATCGCAAAGAGTATAGATGTATTGATTCGCACCCAACAGGAACAACTGCATACTTCCAGGGGCCATGATATAGCCTTACAGTCCATCCGAGTAGGCTTCAAGGACTTCGCCCACAACATGATGATGCGGATGGGCAGTGTGATGCAGGCCTGTATGAAGAACACATAACAACTCTGTGTTGGCGCCATAGAGGGCGCCAAGCTTGCAACTGCGAAGGAGGAGGAGGCACACCCGCGTAGGGAATGAGTCAAAGTCAAGTTTCCTAACGCCTACAGCGGGAAACAA